TTAAACATTTAAAATTGTTTTATTTTTAATTATGGGTACATAATAGTCATACATATTTATAGGGTACATGAGATATTTTGATACAGGCATACAACGTGAATCAAATCAGGATAATTGGGGTATCCATTGCCTCAGGCATACACCATTTCTTTGTGGTAAGAACATTCCAATTACATTCTTTTAGTTTTTATTGTTTGTTCGTTTTTGTTTTTTTGCTGAAACAACAGATATTTATTTCTGACAGTCCTGGAAGCTGGGATGTCCAAGATCAAGGCACTGGTAGATCTGGTATCTGATGAGAACCATTTCCTGTCTTCTTGCTGTATTGTCACATGGTCCCTCTTTTAGTTATTTTAAAGTATACCCTAACTTTTTGTTGATTATAGTCACTTTGTTGGGCTACCAAATATTGTTCATTCTATCTAACTATATTTTTGCCCCCATTAACCATCTCTACTTTATCTCCCTGCTCCCCACCCCCCCCCACATGCTAGCCTTCCCAGCCTCTGCTCACCATCATTCTACTCTCTGTCTCCATGAGATCAATTGTTTTTAGTGTTTAGCTCCCACATACAAGTTGTTTTTTATTATTTTAAAATCACTATAAAACATAATCAACTGCTCTACACAAAACTGAAAAGTAGGAAAACGTAGTACAAAAGTAGCACAAAGATCGAGAGGGGGAAATGGAATAATGCTCTTACAAGGTTCTTTCATTAAAAATGAAGTGATATAATAAGATTTGAAGGTAGACTACCTCAAAGATACATATTGGAGACCCTAAAAGAAGCACCTAAATAAAACAATGATCTATACTTAGTAACCCAATGGTGGAGGCAAAATGGAATGTTTTTTTAAAAAATTCAAAAGAAAAGAAGGAGAAGGTGAAAGAAATAAAGAATAAATGGGACTAATTAGAAAACGAATTGCAAGATGGGAGACTTAAATCCAACCATATCAATAATTATAATGATGTAAAGGAGCAATAGAAGAGAACCTCTTCAGCCTGACAAAAGGCATCTATAAACATCCTACAGCTAATGTCATATTTAATGATGAATGATCGCATGTTCTTCCCCTAAGGCTGGAACATAGGCAAGGATGTTTCCTCTCTATATATCTATTCCATACTGTACTGGAGGTACATTAAGGTAAGCAAAAGAAATGCAAGGCATCCAAATTAGAAAGGAAGACATAAAAATCTCTTTATTTGCAGAAGATGAGATCATAGAAAATCTTAAGCCATCTATAGAAAAGCTAATAAAAACTAGTAAGTGTGGCCAGGCATGGTGGCTCATGCCTGTAACCCTAGCACTCTGGGAGGCTGAAGAGGGAGGATTGCTTGAGGCCAGGAGTTTGAGGTTGCAGCGAACTATGATGACACCACTGCACTCCAGCCTGGGCAACAGAGTGAGACTGTGTCTCTAAAGAAAAAGAAAGAAAGAAATATGTGAAATGATACTATATCTTGCTTAGGTCAGTGTTTAAGGAGGCTAAAAGTGGAGAGTGTGGGTACAATTGGAGGGGGTACATGGACACTTAAGTTATATTGATACTGTTTTCTTCTTTAAGGGGAGTAGTGGACATGGTTAAGCTTGTAGTCTACATTTTTATATATCAACTATTTAAAAACTTGTTTAAAGGAGTGGCCTTTAATTGTGAATATTGAGCCATCGGTTGTTGATTAAAAACCTCAGATAAAAGTACTCCTAATAATTTCTAAAAATACACTTATCCATGGATTTCAGATCTCTCTTCTTCCGACGAATGGATTATTTTTTTTGAGACCAGGATCAGAGTACAGGGTACTAGATTGTAGCAAGGAAGGGACACAGAGGACTTGAGGAAGAGAGAGGTAGAGTGCTTGAAAGGGAGCATTTCCAGGGACAGAGAGGTACCTTGAAAAGGAAAATGTCCCCTGGAGGCCTTATGGCAAAAATAAAGAAGGGAGGGCTGAAGAAGAGTCCCACGAAAACATGAAAATATCAGAAGATTGCAGAAAACTTCAGATGACAGAACTTCCACCCACACCAACAAGGCGCCATGTATCTTTTTAAAAACTGCACCTCACTATAGCAACAGAAGAGGGCACTCTTGAGCTAAAAAAACTTAGGCAGCAACCAGCCACCTCCCCGCAGTGGAGCCACCTGTCATTGCTGATCAGGGACATCCAACGCATCTCATCATACACAGAAATGAATGTAACATGCAGAATACAGAAAGTATAAATCGAACTTTTCCAGCTGATGAAAATACTTGTTAAAAAAAACTGACAAAGCAGAAGACAACAACATAACACTCCAACATGGAAGAAATTAAATCAAACAAATGGCAGAAATAAAAGAACACCATGACTCAGAAATTGAAAATTCTGTCTCTCTAGAGAGAGACAATTGCACAAAGAGCTGACAGAAGACCAGGAAGAAACTAAACAGAGACAAAAATTCTTTCAAAAATGACTCAGCAAAGTCGCTCATGACATAACCAATGCAGAGCGCTGTATTTAAGTGGACACAGAGGGCAAGAATGAGGACAAGGCAAGAAAAGCTAAATAAAGGAATAGAGGAAATATTACAAAAGAAAGTCACACTCTGGCACAGGAACAAATGGAAACCTTCAGGAAAACTAAAAAAAATAAAACGCTGGAAAAGAACAAAAATCTGAAACTCTAATTCATGCAAACTTCTCTGAAATAAAATAAGATAGGAACTACATATTGAAAGAACCCACTATATGCTTGAGAAAAGTGACCCATAGCAGTTGAATTAAAATATTAGAATTTGAAGATCTGAAGAAAAAAAAGACCTTTAGACAAATTACCAACTTATTTATAAAGGAAAGCAAATCAGGATGGTATTAGACTATTTAAGAACAAACTATGAAGCAAGACAACAGTAAAGCAAAATATTTTAAGGAACTCAAGGAAGTATATGCTTCAATCATTTATCTGCACTATCAAAGTTCCCCAGAGAAATGGGGATTTGGATATATTGTAATCATGAGTCTGCTTAAGCCATCTGCTAAAACAGGAATCACCAACTCGAGGCCAACTGCCGCATGTTTTTGTAAATAAAGTTTTATTGGGACACAGCCAGCACTCATTTTGTATGTGCCTGCTTTCGTGAGACCACAGCAAAGCTGTATTGTTGTAGCAAGGACTGTATGGCCCACGAATCTGAAAATATTTACTGTTGGGCCCTTTGCAGAAAAAGTTTGCCAATCTCTGTACTAGAAGATGAACTTCTTCCAAACAGGAGATGATTAGAGAAAGTTTGGCAAAGGACTGGTGGTAAGATTTCAACACTTTTAATTGTGCTTCTAAGACTAAAAAAAAAAAAAAGTAGTGATGATGTTATATGTTCTGATAGAGGAGAAATAATATAACTTTTTTATTGAGAAGAAAAAGGAAAATAGAAGAAGTTCACTGATTTTATACAGGTAATAGGCGTGTGTCTCTAAGGATATATTGTCAGAAAAAGGAAAAAGTTTTCAAAAGTGGTTCAAGATGCCTTCAGTTTGGACATATGGGTCATAAAACCTAGATCTATGGTCTAGAGTTAAACTCTCACCTGCAAGGCTGTGGGCCAAGAAATATTTCACTGATGTGATTACAGCTGTCCCTATCAGATGAAGCACAAAGGATAAAACCAGTCACCCCTCTCCAGACCTTAAGATGCCTGCATATGGGTTGCCTTCTGACCCTGTACACGTTGACCACATATTTGTTTGGTAGTGACTGGGCGTCAATCAGAACTGTGAGAACGTCACCTTTGCTCCACTGTGCCCTTTCCCCATTTTCTATGAAACAGGGTGTACAAAGGCTGAGCCTCATGCAGGCCATTGTTAGGACTTGTGCCCCAAGTCTGCTTTTCTGGGTTATGGTTCTTAAACGTGGCTCAGAATGAAATTAACTTTGATTTCTTTAATTCTACAGTGCCTATTAGTTCAACCTCTGGTCGACAAGTCAATATAATTTGGCAAGACTTCCTAGCTTGCCAGAGTGAGTACATGTGACTTTGGACAAGTCACAGTTTTATAATGGCAAAGAACCCATCTCCCATGTGTTTTATTATCATGTGGAACCTGCAAAACTTAAGCAAAGAGAGATAGATCACCTTTGAGAAAAGAAAAATAGCTCACAGCAGTCTGGGCTATGAGAGGTGTGCAAAATTTATCAGGCCCAGAGTGTGGGACTTCAGTCCTCCCAGGCTGGTGTTTAAAGGCATTTTGCTCCTGATCCATTATCCTCACGTTCCTGGAATTTGTGATACAAAGAGCAATGGATAGCCAACCCATAGCTTATGTTGTTGTAATATAAATTCCTGGTAAACAACCTAGGCACTGCTTCTTCTTTTTCTCTTAAAAACCCACTTGTAAAAGTTGCTGATCAGAGTGTGTTTTCAGGGCAACTTGAATCTCTGCTCCCAAGTGGCCATCCTCAAGCTTTGGGCTTTAGGATTGTATACCCAGATGATATGTCTTTCAAAAGTGAAGGCAAAATAGAAACAATCTCAGTCTTTTGAGACATCTGCTGCCAGCAGACACACACTAAAAAACTACTTCCTTAGGCTGAAGGAAAATGATTCCAAGTAGAAGCTCAGACTACACAAAGGGAGAGAGGACTAAAAATAATAGAAATGTGGATAAATATAAAAGATGTTTCTCTCATTTAAAAAAATGTAAAATATAAATAACTATTCAGAGCAAAAATGATGAAAATGTACTGCAAAAGTAAACTCTATACTTAATCATATTTTCTGAATCTTGTTATTTGAAATTGACACCTTGTATAAATCATGAAAGAAAGAAAAGAAAAGAAAGGAGAAAGGAAGGAAGGAAGGAGGGGAGAGGGAGAGGGGGAGAGAGAGAAAGAGAGGGAAAGAAGAAGGAAGGGAAAGAGGGAAGGGGAGGGGAGAGGAAGGGAAGGAGAGGAATTAGAAAGCATACATGAAGAGTTTCAAATGAACTTTTGTTTTCTTAAAAATATTTAACGTAGAATTCCAAATAAATCATGTGGCTACTTCCACCTTAAGGAGGTGGAGCTTAATTCCCTGTCCCTTGGGTAACTTGCTTCCAAAGAGCAGAACATGGGAAAGAGGGACCCCGCACGCATTACTTTGGGCAGGTGACTGAGCTTATCATTATCTGTGACAAGTCCTGTTTATGGCATACACCCCTGATCTCAAGTGATGAGAATGGCATTTCACCTCTGTGGTCTTCTTCCCCCAAACCCATAACCCTAATCTAATTGTGAGAAGAACATCAGCAAAATCCAACTGGAGAGACATTGTGCAAAATACCTGACCTGAACTACTCAAACGGTCATCCAGAACAAGGAAAGTCTGAGAAACTGTCACAGGCAGAGGAGATTTGACACCTAAGTAAGGTGATCTACAGGAAGGGACAGAAAAAGACACGAAGAAAAACTAGTGCAATCTGAACACACTATGGAGTTCAGTTAATAATACCGTACCCATGTTGGTTCCTTAGTTGGAACAAATGCACCATAGTCATGTAAGATGTTTACGATAGGGGAAACCGGGTGTGGGGTATGTGAGAACTCTGAATTATCATTGCAACTTACCTGTAAATCTAAAACTATTCTTTAAAATGGCACTTAAGGGCTGGGCATGGTGGCTCATGCCTGTAATCCTAGTACTCTGGGAGGCCAAGGCAGGAGGATAGCTTGAAGTCAGGAGTTCGAGACCAGCCTGGGCAAGAGTGAGAGCCCGTCTCTACTAAAAATAGAAAAATTAGCCAGGCATGGTGGCATGCACCTGTAGTCTCAGCTACTCGGGAGGCTGAGGCAGGAGGATTGCTTGAGCCCAGGAATTTGAGGTTTCTCTGAGTTAGGCTGATGCCACAGCACTCTAACCTGGGTGACGAAGGGAGACTCTGTCTCAAACTACTACTACTACTACTGCTACTATTATTACTACTACTACTAATAATAATAATGATAGCCTTAAAATGAGCCAGAGAAAAGCAGCAATTGCACATAATGTTAATCGTTATTGCTGACTTCTCATCATAAACAATTCAAGTCAGAGGAGAGTAGGATGTCATCTGTGATAAGGGAAAAATGTCAGCGTAGGATTGTATACCCAGATGATATGTCTTTCAAAATTGAAGGCAAAATAGAAACAATCTCAGTCTTTTGAGAGATGTGCTGCCAGCAGACACACACTAAAAAACTACTTCCTTAGGCTGAAGGAAAATGATTCCAAGTAGAAGCTCAGACTACACAAAGGGAGAGAGGACTAAAAATAATAGAAATGTGGATAAATATAAAAGACGTTTCTCTCATTTTAAAGTATGTAAAATATAAAGAACTATTCCAAGCAAAAATGATGAAAATGTACTGCAAAAGTAAAATGTATAACAATAGCAAAAGGACAGGAGGGAGAAATAAAAGTACGCTGCTAGAAGGTTCTTCATTTGAAAATAGACTCTGATAAATCCTACAGCATCTGCTGAAACAAGAAAACAAAGAACTATGGCTAATAAGACGATAGTAGCCATACACAGAATAGTTTTTTAAAATACTCCATTCAAGAAAAGCAGAAAACGGGGAAAATAGAACAAATCATAGGACACATTGAAAACAATTGCAAGATGATCGATTCACTTCAGCCATATCAGTAATTACATTGAAAACAAATGCAATATTAGAATGTCATCTCCTAAAACAATGGTCCCCAACCTTTTTGGCACCAGGAACCAATTTCATGGAAGACAATTTTTCCACAGATTGGGGGTGGGGGCAACAAAGCTCTGCAGCTCAGTCCCTAACAGGCTGCAGACTGGTACCGGTCCGTGGCCCAGGGATTGGGGACTGCAATCCTAAAAGGTCCTTCTAGCTCCAATGACAATAACAAAGTAAAGGCAACTTACTTTAGAAATATAAAAGCCACCTTACTGAAGTGTAGTTGTGAATGCCTATTATTAATTACCTACCAATAAGGAAAATCTTTACCAAGCGTCACATTCCCGTGAGTGCATGTCTACTGACCTTATAAATTGCTTAGATGGTAATAAAAATTAACATACCTTCCAGTGACTCATGAATCCGTTGGCCCCATTTGGCAAAATACATGGAGCCACCTCCTGCCCAGGGAAAGCAAATTAGCTTAAAAATCGCATCAGGATTTTGGTATAAGCAGTTCAAAACTTTTTCATTCCTAGGGAGAAAAATATATTTCACATTACATATACCAATTAAGGTCTCCATTACTGAATTGGGTAAAATGTTTATTAATTATAAAGAGCATACGTTCAAATATAAAGTGATTGCCAATTTTTCCAATAGGAAAGGGCAAAAAAGGTTTTTATGGTCTGTGTTGACAATTTGAATATATAAACTTTTAGGGATGTCAGCGAAATCGTCAAATATCTATACGTTACATTTAGTGCATTTTATAGGCACATTGAAAATGACATAAATGTTAATTTAGAAATTGCCCTTTTCACAATTCGGGAAATAGTTTTACCCAAATAGTTCAATCTCAGTGTCTTCATTATCACAGAGCCACTTTTCGGGTCATCTAAAAGTTTTCCAGAGCATATAATTTTCACTTCCTTCTGAGTGTTTGATAAACACTTAAATCTGCATATACTGTCATAGGAAATTTTATCCCAAGATTCAAGTGCCCAATCAGCTAGTAGAAGGAAAAGTTCTTTTTAAAAAAAGTCATCCTGGATGTATTGGTTTGTGTTCTCCACGATTGAAACCCTTTCTCTAAGTTCCCATGTGGACCAATAAATTCCTTACAAATACATATAATCTTCCCAACTGTGAGGTCATAAACCCTAGTGTATTGATGACGTCTGTTTTGTCTCCTTTTTTTTTAAGTATCAGTTTTTTCAGTTCTGGATAAGCATCCAAAACTAACACTAACTGAGATCTTTTCAGGTGAACTTGTGTCCTCTACAGAGGACTTTGTTCTTCATAATAAAATAATTGAGGGAACACTCGTAAAATGAGAGACTTTATATGAACTTAGGCACAAATGAAAATTTTGGAGAGGAGAGATAATTTTTGAAGAAAAACTCCTTGCTCTTTATTTGGGTATTTATTTTAATAACTGCTAGTTTAAAAGATAAAAGCAAATAGGGCTCAATTTTCATATTTTTCTTTTGAAAAGTTGTACTTCGAAAACAAATTTTTGTACTTGAACCTGTGTTCCCACTAACCAACCCCACCTTCAACAAACTCATTGATAATGGGTCATCCCTAAATGAGTATTTCATAGCTCTCCGCTCACTTTCTCAAGGGGTGCAAAAACCCTCAGTCGAGACTGGTGTGATAAACTGCAGGACAAACGGGTGACTTTCTGCACCTCATTTTTTCAGGCTGTTGAAAAGTCTAGAACGATTACCTGAGTTTCAGATAATGCCATATTTTTAAAGTCAAAAGCCCTACTTCAATCTATTTAAATTATCTGTGTTTTAATAAACAAAAATATGTATTAGGACAACAGTAAGGATGGGTTTTGCCATGCCTAGAGCCTAGGTAATTTGCAGGAGCGAGAGTACAGAATTATGAGTACAAAATTCGGTACAGAACCTTTGATCATACTGTTTCAAGATAATCATTTTCCTTCGGGTCGGTGGTGAGGGTAGGAGCTGCCTGTCTTTCACCTTTTTATATGAGTGTCAGTCTTGGGGGGGGATTCTTGGAACCCATTCTGATGGGACGTTTCCACGCAGCCAGGATCTCATGAGGGGGCAGAGGAAGGAGAGGGGGTAGGGCCTATCACTGCCAAGCCTGGACAGCTAGTAGAACTGGGGCCATCCTAGGGTTCTTGCCTTTCTCCACCATCTGGCCAACCTCCTCTCTTCGTCTTAGAGAAAGAATCAAAGATCACTAAACCCTGGACTTGCCTTCTCGTTATCTCTTCCCTCTTCATTTTTGAGTTAAATAATCGAATTCTAAAACTTGAGCACTGAGAGTGACCAGAGAGATCATTTAGTCCACTACTGCAGCCTAATGACTAAAGGTCATAGAAACAAGGAGGTCCAGTCACACCCCTTACTACATGACATTAGGCAAATTACACAAGTGCTTTAAATTCTCAGTGTTCTTATTTGTAAAATGAGGACAATAGTAGTCTTCCCTAAAGGTAGCTGTGATGATTCAAAGTATCAGAAATGCTCAGCATAGTTTTAGGCACACACTAAGGAAAAGTAAGTGTTGTCTATTATTGCTTATTTGACAGTTGACGAAACTGAGACTCAGAGATATGAAGTCACTCAGCTGGTTAGTGACAAATTAGGAATTAGAAGACAAATCCCGTTAGTCTTAAAAGCTACTTCCCTGCTTAACCCTTTTGCCATACTCTCAGCATCAACATACAGGTAGGCCACTAAGTAACAGATGGAGAACTTACCTGAGATGTTTTGGATTAAGAGAGTCAGGACTAGAAACTCTTCTTCACTTTGGTATATAAGTACAACGTTGCCTGCGCCTCTCCTGATCCACGCAAGTGCTTCAGCCAAAACAGTCATTTACAACTTCACTTTAAAAGCATCACCAAGTGAATGCCATTTTACATAGGAAGTACATGGTGCCACTCACAGGAAAGTAGTCCCGCCTTATCCATTGGGGCTACATTCCAAGACCCCCAGTGGATGCCTGAAACTGCAGATTGTACTGAACCCTACACGGACTATGTTTTTCCTTTACATATATTACCTGTGATAAAGTTTAACTTATGAATTAGGCACAGTAAGAGAATAACAGCAACAATAATAAAATAGACCCATTATAAGAATAGACTGTAATAAAAGTTATGAGAATGTGGTCTCTCTGTCTCTCTCTCAAAGTATCTTATTCCGCTGTACTCACCTATTTTCATACCACGAATAAGGGGAGACTGCTGTACCTTGCATTAGTGCCAACGACCAGCAAACTAGGCTGTGGGGAGAAGCCTCTTTCAGTCTAAAATGGCAGTCTTATGAAGGCAAGGTACAGCACCTGGTGCGGGGGAAGAGCCAGGTCGCGCAAGGAGTAGCCTACCTGGTTCTTCCAACTTGGTCTCTTCCCGCCATACTGTGAGGAGATGATATGAAATTGATCCTCTCAGAAATCTGTTAAAGGCTTAAGAGCACTCAATTCCTCTTTGGGTGTAAAACCTCCAGTCAGCCTGTGAACACAGAGAAGTGACTAGCTTTCTTTTTAGAAGTGGTGACTCTATTGACTGCTCTCACCTCTATTAAAAAAAAAAAAAAAAGGAAAGAGGAAAAGGCAGGAGAAGAGGAAAAGAAGGAAAAGAAATAGTAGAAGAAGATGACAAAGAAGAAAAATGGGTTAGAAGAAACATAACAGATGTTATCCAAGGAGTCACCATGCTCAGTTCATTCATATTCAGCTACCAGTAAGTTCTTCCAGTAACAGGACTTTTACCTAATATACAGAAAGAAGGAGATGTAACATTTCTAAACTCTAGCAATTCAACAACCTTGCAGGCAAATAAGCAGAAAACACTCAATACTTATTTGATAACTGGGGTGAGGGATATTTGTTTTGAAAATAGAAATGTCTTACCTTTCTAGATATTTATAAAGTTGTGCTCTTTTAAATCGTAAGAAAGAATTAGGGACCCTCAGAAAAGCTTCACGACTGTGCCAAACTTCCAATTTTTCAAGCTTCAAATATTCAGAAAAGAGAAGAAAAATACCCAAAGCTCTATCATTCAGAAAGGTTATCTTCTTACTTCCTAAGAGCTCCTTTAATCCCAAGGATTAATCCTTCATCTTTAAGGGCGCAGTTGACATCACAGTCTCGGTTGTGAATCTCAGAACTGTTCTCGGAGCCCAGCCTGGTCACTCAGCCTGCAGATCTTACAGTGCAGTGCAGGGGACAAGGAGGGACAGAACGACTTGCTTAATTAGAGGACGAAAGTTCACAGAAGATGGGAAGTCCATGTGCTTGTGTCTCAGAGGCTGTTTGTAGAAATACTGGCCTGGAGCCATCATAAATTTACAGAAGAATCAACTGATGACCCATTAGGTTTCTCTGACTTTGTGTGGAAGTAGTTCCTTCTTGGGTAAATAATATAAAATGCAAAAAAAGATAGCCACTTCGACCAAGGAAAATAGACATTCAGAGGTGGGATACACACTTTTGGTGTTGACAACCTGAAAGTTGTTACTGAGCACTACAAAGTTTTAATAAGATTAGTTTAAATTAAAGTACCAGGGAAAAATAATGTATACATCAGGAGCAGGTAAAGAAAGATCCTTGTATTGTCTGCGAGGTTTTGTTAAATTGAGACTTTGATAAATATGCATGTTTTCATCTCTAAGGCAAACCATAAAAAGAATAGACATGTACCATAAGTCATCCAAACTGGGAGAGACAAATGTTTAGTTGATCAAAAAGAAAAGTGAGAAAAGGAAAGAGAAAGAAACATAGGAAAGATGAAACAAAAAGCACAATATAGGATGGCAGGTTTAAACCCCAAAGATCTGTGATTATATTATATATAAATGGACTAAACTCTCCAGTTACAAAGCAAAATTGTCAAGATTGAATATTAAATATCCAACTATAGGCTGTATATAGGAGACATATCTAAGACAATATTACTGTTATGATTTTAAATAATGTTAAGTATAAAATGCTCACTTACCAGGTTTTGGGGTGTAACCCTGAGAAACACTCTCTGGAAAATGACGAGCCACCGGATAGCAAAGGAAGAGAAGTTCATTGTGAGTAGAGTCACCTAAGAACAAGGCGGAAAGAACAACATGGGCCAAAGGCCAGAGGAGAGACAAAGCACCGATTGTTACGAAACTAAAAAGAGTTAAATATGACTGGCAGGCAGGACAGGTGAGCGAGTGGTGAAAGGAAAAGTAAGCAAGCAATTAGGAGACAATGATTTTAAAGAGTTTAGACTTGACCTTAAGAATGAGGAGAATCCATGGAAAGGTGAAATGATGTGAATTTCCTTTCAGAATGATGACTCTGCTACCAGATCCAGACAAGAGGCTGTTGTAGTGATCTAGGAGACAAAGGGTGCTACCTGGCCTTAGAATATTAGCAAACATGTAACCCTTACTGAGGGCCAGGCACCCTTCTAAGCCTTCAATACA